AAAAAAAAAAAATAAATAAATAATTTACATTAAAATATAATTGATTACCTGTTGCGAAAGCTGGAACTCAACAACCATATTATTATGAGTTGTATTGTTAGTAACTAATTAAACTTTGAAACATTATAAATGCCTTCTCAATTCTTACTTTCATAGCTAAAAATTGTCCAGGATTCAATTTGTGATTGACTAACATAACACGTCCAAAAGCACCCATGCCAATAGTTTTATGAAATGTGAAGTCATTAATCGAAGACTCGTTCATTGGTTTTCGTTTTAAACGATCTTCGAAATTGATCTTTGAACATTCTAAATATTCTTGAATTTTATCTATATCTTCTAATATACAGTTATTATTGTGTGCAGTAATGCTGGTGTATGGAACACTTACAGTTTTTTTTATATCGCTTTTGGACATGATATAATTAAAAAAATTTGTTTTTCAAACGCCGTTGGTCATGTTTGATTTGTATTGTTTTTAACACCCGTATCTATTCATTTAAATAWGAGTGTTTACAGTTGCCTAGGTTTAATTCTGATCGCGTTTTTATAACAAACAAAATATAATAGCAATTAGATCAGAAGTAATTAATGATATGATTTMAACTTTGCACTGTGTCTACTTATTTTGTTAGGAGTCCGCAAGCGAGTCAATATCTATATCAAACTTTTGATTGCGGAATTGGCTCATACTTCTCAAGTTCTAAAAAAGTGTAGCAAACAGCGGATAAAAAATATTAATGACTACTAATGACTTTCATAAGTGAGTACTAAAAAAAATCAGTTCTTATTCTGGTTATGGTTAGAACCAGTACTCAGCGGTTTATTTCTAATAAATGTTTAATGAACTATCAAACCTGTAAAATACCAAATTTGATGTCAAATATTTATAAGATTTGTCTATATTAATGAACAATACGTACGTGTTACCAAGAAGAATGAACTACGGTACATGGCAGTGGTGTAGCTAAATAGCGTATTCATAACGCCGTATTGTCACAAAAAAAAATAAAAATAAATAATAATTTTGAAAGTTCAGAATTATACTTCACGTATATTTTTCTAAAACACTTTTCGATTGTACAGTACTGATTTTAAGTT